CTAATAACATTTTTAACAAAATAGCGTAATCGAATCTATTTTTTTGTTTTTCTTTATTCCATGCTTCAATAAATTTTCAAGTGTTGCCACCTAAAGTAGTGCGCATTGTATTTTATATTTTTTCAACCTACTTACCAAAAATTGGGCACATTCTAATAAGAGTATTTTATTTTTCCCATTTTTCACTATTACTATGTTACCCGGTTACTAAGTTCGTTGCTAGAGAACGTGAATACCCCTGGTGTGATTAGAACAGCATGTGAATTCGTTACTTTTAAAGTGACTCAATTTGAGAATTTATTTATAAATACATAAGAAAAAAATAAGAAAAATTAAATTCATGTTCTTTTTTTTTATTATAAAATATTGGAACAAAAACTGCCAAGTCACACTCATATCATTTAATAATATCTTTATTGTTACTATTCTTAACAAGCTAACAGAGCTGTCATCCTACAAAGTTAGGGACTTAGTCAAGTCTATAGACTATTTAGGTTGGTTAACATTTAATTGCTTGAAGAGTTGTTTGTACGCTGACTATTGCAGTCGTTTTATAAGAGGTATCATAAGGGACCATTGTCAAAATGGGCTTTGGATTCAAGACCTCCACTCCAACCTAACCTAACATTCTAATAATACAGTAAAATGTAATACAGTATTTGTTTATGACAAATACTACTTCATTGAGATGCTCAGGTGAAGTTGCTATTTTAGAAACTTCAAGTTTCGATTGAAATTTCTTCTTTTTACCTCATTTGTGTTATGTTTTAAAAAACACTTCCCTGACAAGATTTGCGGTGATGGTAAGAACCTCTTAACAGATTTCACAACTCATCATTTCATCAGCACTAAATGCGTTATCGCAGAATTAATGAAAAATGGCTATCTGAAAAACGAGGAAACCACTGTTTGTTTTCTTATATCTCAAATATTGGATTGGATCAAATATTTTGCTAGAATGAGCTTTTCAATAATACAGTTGAAAATTGTGAACGCACATTTACATAAAAAATGGAATGATCATGACTTAGATTACACGAAGAAGTTGAAATAGATTGAGAGAAAAAAATAATAGAAATTAAAATGTCTCTGAAAGATCTTTTTGGAGATAAATTGCTGTTTAGGTCAAACAGCACTACGAGCTGTCAAATTAAACAATTATAAAAATTTCCATTTAACTAGTTCAAAACGTAAAAAAATTATTGCTAACTTAAAGATTAATAATGTAAATTTTTTTTGCCGAAAGTGACGCGTCTTATGAGGAACCCTTCTAAAAGTTAGAAGGGCTCGTATAGAATTGAAAAGACAACAACAAAAATTTTAGTTAATTTATTGAAAATCTAACTGACTATACAACGTTGTTTTGGGTATTGCCAAGTACTCATCATCACTGGTGTTTGGAAATATTTGAATTTTTTAATTAGTTTATAGTCCCTATATATATATACAATTTTGTACAATGTATTAAGCATTTAGCTTTCAAACTTATCCCAGTAAACATATCATTTTGTGTGAAGAAGTGAGATCAAATGATTTAGATACTCTGTTCGTTATATTTATGTCCTTTACATAAAAATGTTTAAGAAATTGATTGAAATGTCGTAGACTCCATCCATAAAGTATATATATTCTTAATCAGCTTATGAAACTCAACTTTTCATAATCCCTGTCTCTCTGTCTGCTACAGATAAAACTAAAGCAGTTATAGTTCGGATATTATGAAAAATTGCGGTTCTTTTAAACTATGACATTTTTTTTTAATATTAATTCTCCAACTTAATGGTCCATACTTTTGAGGTAAAAACTTTCTTTTAAAAAACTTTTTTGAAGTTCTTTTCTTTGTTATAAAAAATTCTACTACCATAAATTCTACTCATAATTTTTTTTATAACTTAACAGAAATATGTTTTTGCACAACCAATTCTGTATGTTTTTTTTTAAAACAATACAAAACTTATGTCTTACGAAATATCTGTATTGACCTTGTTTTCTGTTGCTCCACATGCATGTAGATATGTAATTTGGAGTAACTTTTATGTATTCATTTCATTCCCTGTTCGGAGGCACACATAACTTCCTCTTCACACTTAACTTACGTACATTTTTCCTAATGTATATGAATATATACATGTTTTTATATAACAAATTTGTAAAACACTTTAGCGGGGGGCAAGTACTACTAACAATGACGCAAACTTCTGTTCCACCCAGTTTTACATGATTTTTATGAATCCAAAATGACGAAAGCGAAAATATAAAAAGAAAGTTTATTACAGAAAAAACAAAATCAGATCAAATTATATTGCCCTATGACTTCATATAACACTTCTACTAAAATTGTATATTAAAGTAAAAATCTTACAATTTTTTTACATATTTGAATATAATTGTTTGCAATGTAAATAAAAACCTAAAAACGCTTCCAGAAAACGGTGAACATATAGGACGGCAATCATTTCAAAGTAACTCATACTCCGAAGAGTATGTAGGATGACTAATAAAGCAAAAACTTATTGGCAATAGAGCATTCTACGTGAGATTAGCAGAAGTAATAAATTAGTTCCAACGCTATTTCAATACTTACACTTCTCATTTGGATTCAATAATTTCAATTTCAACAATCATTTCTTCATCGAAGCCAAAACTCTCTTTGTTCCATTGTTTTAAATTCTGTATACAGATAATATCCGCCATATCTAAGGTGTATGGTAGTCAGGAAAGTAACTGAATTCCTGCAATATTGCTACTGCAATCTATCTGTCACATACAACATATTGTCTTTGCAAAAAATTACAACAACTCTACCTTTGGTCGTCATTTTCTGTCATTTAATTTGGTACCGATTTGGTTACATGCTGCTGAGAAATTGTTGTCATTGTTATCAATACAGATACATTGTGACCGAAAGGTTTCCGGAAATTTTAAATAAAACGCAAAATTCTTAATCTTCATCAATATTTATTTTATCTCCTTCAAAATATGCTCCATTAGAAGCGATACACAAATGCCAACGTTTCTTCCAATCATCAAAAACATTTTTTATAGGCGCTTTCCGGTATGGCTTTGAGTTCCCTCTGCGAATTCTGTTTTACGTCTTCTATGGATTCAAAACGCGTTCCTCTGAGTGGTAATTTGAGGTTGGGAAACAGGAAAAAGTCACACGGTGCAAGATCAGGTGAATACGGTGGCTGTTCGATGGTATTTATTGAATGTTTGGCCTTAAAATCGTTGATAATGTTGAACAAATTGAGGTGAATCGGAACAAGCCGGGCGTTGACACGTCGCATACACAAATTGTCCACCAAAATCAAACGAGCCATCTCACGACCGATGCCTAGCTCTCGTGCTATCTCTCTAACACTCACATGAGGATTTTTGAACACGATTTCCTTTGCCTTTTCAATGTTTTCGTCGGTGGTAGAGGTCGAAGGTCGTCCAGAACGCGGCATGTCTTCGACGGTCGTACGACAGTCCTGAAAGGCTTTGTACCACTCATAAACTTGAGTTTTCGATAAAACTGATTCCCCATAAGCCTTTTGTAGCATTCGCAACGATTCTGCACACGAAATTTCGTTCGAAAAACAAAATTTGATGCAAACTCTTTGTTCAATATTTTTTTCCATTGTTTTTTTCGCAACGCACTACTGAGGTGAACTGGTTTCAACAGCTGCCGTAAACGAACTGTCCGACAGATCGCGCTCATTTTTGGCATAGTAATTAAGGACAGTGCTGCCAAACTACATAAACTTAAAATATCGAAAAATATACAGCGCGCGAATTTTAAATGAGAATTTCCGAAAGCTTTTCGGTCACAATGTATATATGTTATTATAGCCTACTGTGAGAGAAAACTTATTACCCATTTCAAAAACATATTTCACACCAAGTAGTGTTGAAACAAACTCTTATCCATACATAATATATAATATATTGATGTCTCCAACTTATCAGCTATATCCTCGAATTTCTTTTTGAACAATTACATGGGTTTTATTTAAAATTTAGTAGAGAAATTACAGAATTTAGGCATCCAAAGCGTTAAGTATTATGACTAGATTTTCATATGTCTGTATAGTCATATTTAGATATAACAAACCATAGCCAAAATATCATAAAGAATAAGGAACCACAGAATAGCATAAAGAATAGGAAACCAGTATTAAGGGATCTAAGATAGGATGTTTGAAATTAACCACAATTTAAGTAAATAAGTCAAATATTATTTTATTAGAAATACAGATATATAAATATAGATTTATTAGATACATATATAGCATCATTTAAAGTAATCAATTTATCTTAATTAGCCTAGCCGTTTAGAAAAGACCTTAGAAAATTAGTTTTGTAGCTACAATTCTGCGTAACTTTTTTTTTCAAATATATACGCCTATATCTGAGCAATAGTGTAATCAATGTGCTTCAACTCTGGTACTCTTGTTGAAATATTCGCTAAGAGCAACGACTTCAGATAATTTTACGAAGATTTATTTATTGACCTTAAATTACACAACTTAGGAACTTGCGTTACAGTTCCAGAAAACTCTTTAATAAACGAATACTTAAATCATTAAGTTGATTTCTCTGACAAAATATTATATAGCACAGTATTGTTGTGGTAGATCCAGAATGTCCAAAACATGTTTGGAAAATATATATGGAAAAATAAGTTGTTGTGCATAAATTTCTCCTTAAAGACTTAAGGAGCTAGAAAGAAACCAATAGATATGTTATTAAAATATACAAAGAAAAACGTGAGTTCACAATAGTCTATTTACTAGTCTAAACGTGAGTTCACAATTTCTATTTAAAAAGAAATCTATTTAAAATCATAGTAGTCCAGTAAATGAAGTTTCTTTTAATATAAATTGATTTAAAAAAAAAATAACTTTTTGATATAATTATTTAGTCATTCCTTTATCATTTAAAGTATTTTTAAAATTTGAAAAAAAAGAAACTAATGATAGTCCAGTAAATAAAGTTATTTATTAAATTAATTGAATAAATTTTGAATAAATTAGTGGTGCGTAAATTATTTTTCTTTTTATTAAATTAGAGTAATTAAGGTTTTTTTTTTCTTTACAGATATGCATTAAGAAAACTCAATGCCTTAAGAAATAAACCGAGCTACGTGTGCGGTAAGTTGTAAATGAAAAATTAAAAAAAAAATTAACAGAAATCAGAAACATTATACCAATAATGTGTCCAAATATTTTTAACATTAATTTAATTAATTTAAAATTAATGAAATTAGTGTCAAATATTTAACTCTGAAGTTCCATATTGCTTCAAAATTTGGTTCAAGCTTATTTTTTTTCTCCACATATTTTTCTATCTATTAGAAAAAAATATAGATATTAATTTCGGTTCTGTGATATTATCTACAATTTATTTTTATTTAATAAAAAATCTTGCCATAAGTCATCAAGTCATCATCTAATAGACTTAGTTACCATATCGCTAACCTACTTAGCTACTAAAGAATAAAGCATTTTAAATTCGTTTTTTTACTTTCTATCCAAAAATTTATTTTTATTAAATTGTAAGAAATAGAAAATTCATTTAAAAATCGTCATTTACATTGTATTTTTTGTTTACCAGCACGGCTCGTTCTGTATTTTAAACATAAACATTGAAAATAAAATTTTAATAAAATGCCGAAAAATTTGTATATTCTTTGTTATTTGTTTATTGTAAAGCAAATATCCGTATATTGAGATAGAATACACTGCACCACAAAATTGATGCAAGTATCTTGCAGTTGTGTCTACAATATGTTTGTGTACTTTAGATACTTATTATAGATATTTTATAAAATAAGCGTCACCAGTTCTATTATACGAAGGAGAATACCCATTATCTGTTGTCTTTAGCATAGTAATATTTCTTAAATGTATTTATTTATAAATATTTATTTACACTGCAAGTAGCTAGTATAGATCTTATAACCAGTTAAATTTGACGCTCAGACCCGCGTTCATTAACAAATTGTCCTGGGTTAGACATATATGCTTGAAATAGAGAATAAATCTAGATTTCCCTATCAAAAATGTCATATTCGTTTATAGTAAATTGTAATTTAATGTCAGGTATGACGATAGTGACTATTTTAGTTAATAAAAACGATCATATTTTGTTAGAGAGGTTTCGAAAATTATTTCGAGTATTGCCAAATACCTATTATCAGTGGTTTTAGAATTATTTTTTATATATAATTATTCAAATACAAGTTTTTTGAGACTGCAAGTACCAAGAGTTGAACTCGTGCCCTCCCAAATTTGATGCTCACAGTCAGCGTTCATTAGCAAACTGTTCCAAAGCCGTACTTGGCTCGTATATTCGTATGTATGTATGTATATTCGTATGTTGTTAATTCTGATTAATGTGAAATAGAAATTATTAATGTGAAATGATCGATAACTCAAAGTTCCTTGGTACTTGCAGTCTCAAAAAATTATTTATGAATAATTGAATATAAGAAATAATTCCAAGACCAATGATGATAGGTATTTGGTAATACTCGAAATAGTCATATGGTCAGCCAAAAATTGAATTAATTAAAATAATATAAAAAAAATTTTTATTGTTCTATTTCACTACTTTTCGAAACCTCTCTATTAATATATAGTGAAATTCCAAAATCGTCAAGTTCATCTTATTAATTCCAAGCGTTAGTAGGACTTTGTCAATATTATGTTAAGTTTAAAAATATATATTTATACAAAAATAATTAAAAATTTCCGATTTAAGGCATATTATAGAGAAATAATTAAAAATACTATTATAATTTTTAAAAGAAATAAATATAAAATTTATGAAAGATGGAAAAATACAAGAGCTCCTATCTATCATCTAATATGTTTGCGTATAAAAGTATACATAACTATTTTATCAGACAAAAAGTTGTATTTAGTCAACTTATATGTTATATACTTACTCTTTTATGTGTTAGGAGTTTTTTTTCCAAGTTTTTATTTTGTTTCATAAAATCTTTTTTTTTTTTTTTTTTGCACTGATACGTAAGAAGATATTTTGTTTGTTATGGGTTTATCCTGCTCTGTAATGAAAATACTTTTATGTCATGGACCAATAAAAATTTTGCGGTTGCAAATAGCTTTAGTTGCACAAAAAAATAAACAAAATTTGTTTATTTTTCTCTGTCACCCTACATCCAATTTGCTAACGTTTAACCTAAGTTATTAAAAACTAGAAAAAACACCAAATATATATGTTAAATTAAAATATTGAGATGCTGTATTGTATATATTATTTTAGAAATAATATAATGAAGTGAAATTTTTTATTATCAATATTTTAATTAAAATATTGTATTTAAAATTTTATTTTTAATAATTGTTTTACTGCTATTTGTGTTAGCTTTATATAAGCCACTGTCTAGATTCATAATTCAGATCTTGGTTTAAAAACAAGCTTAAAAAATATTTAAAGAATGGTTGTGGTAGCTTTTTTATAGGAATAGAATTTCAATTATTGCTTAAATTTGCAGAAATCCTTACCATAAAAAACTATGTGAAGACTTAACTCTATCTGATATTACTAGGAACCAGTAAGTCTATGTTTGGCTTACAGTCAGCCCGATTAACTTTATTTTCACGCAGGCTAAAACTAAAATTGTTATAATAGATGTTATAATGGATATAGCATCTGCAGGTTGAGGTATTATTACAACGAAAGGAACCTACGGTTTATGAAAAATAGATATTTAAACATCTAAACACATATCGAAAACTGGGCAACACTTGCCTGACACAATATATAATATACAACAAAATCAAATCAATCAAGGTGCTTACGTTCCTTAATACCCAAAGGATCTGTTAAAGAAACTAAAATTAGTATAATAGACTAACTAGATCGTGATAAGTAATATTATTATAATAATATTATTACTATAATAACATAATAATAATATTATTATTATTATAATATAATAAAACTATTACTATAATAATATAATAATAATATTAGTGTAATAATATAATATTATATAGTGTAATTATATAATAATATTATTATTATTATAATAATATAATAATGTTATTTTTATTTTATAATAAGTACTATTATATATTATAATTTTATTTTATTATAAGTTATTTATTATGTAATTTATTTCTTTTATTTTTTTAGTTCTTTTATGTTTATTTATTTATTTTATTATAATAATATTATATATTATATAATATATGTAATATATATATTATAATAATATATTATTATAATAATATTGTTATAATAATAATTATTATTATAATAATAATATAATAGCTGAAGAATATGTTAAAGTAACTGAGGCTACTATAATAGATCAACTGAATCATGGTGCATAATGTTATTGTTTATAATAATACTTGAGTTATGAAACCTACCATATGTGGGGTTAACCGTTTCCTTTTTAAAATTGTCACTGGAACCTAATAGAAGGTATTATGTTAGTACAGGTATTGCTTGTTTTGCCGGTTTAAAAAGCACTTTAAGAAAACTTTTCAAGTGATTGTAAAAGAACAGAAGATTTATTATGTTAATATGGTATATGTATGGTTTAATTTTAGTTTGGCCTTTAAATACTCTAAGTAATCCTTATTATTCTCCTAAGATAGTCATTACAAACAAATAATTGATTTATCATTTTATAAATATAATCTATTTTTTGTTTTATTCTTTATGTTACAAGTATTTTAAAAGAATAATTCCAACTGGTACAATATGAGCATAGTGCACCTTTATTCCACTTTTGTTATAGATGGGCTTTTTACAACTGAAACTGATACATAATATTTTTACATTTCTTTCTGATATTTATAACCCATTTTATATTTTGTAGCTCTGGTACAGATGATGTTCACAGCAAAAACCATTTTTTCGTATTGATTTGTGCCTTCAAATGTTTACATTTCATTGCTAAAACTTTATACACAAAATTTGATGACAGAAATTTTTATTGTCTATTGAGTCAGTGAAATATATTAGTATTAATAAAAAAAATCTGCTTCCTTTTGTGAGTAGAAAATATATAATATATTCGATTTTATGTATGTGTAGATTTGTGTATGTTTGTATGCCTATCAATTGGACAAATCTTTTTTGAAAAAACTCATAAAATCACATAAATTCATATTTGCACTTCCAAGTTAGAGGCGTTATTTTGACAGAACTTTTAAAAAAATATTTATTTTATTATTGGATATGTTGATACTCGTATATTTTTTAATATATATCATTCTATCGACTTTGCAATTCTACACTTAAACCTAATTGATTTAAATTTATTAAAATTTTAAATGAAACTTCATTAATTACCATTTTTATTCAAATTGAAATTCATTATTACGAGAAACTTCAGTTAAACGCTGGATTATAAAAAATTTTCGTTATGGTATCAACCTCTGTTTACTAAAATAATTAATCCAAACACTAAAAATGGTGTCAAATTTACGAAAACAAATAAAATTTGTCAAAAACTGCACTAAAATAAATATAATCAATTAATTTTGAATAAAATTTAGTACTATAAAATGTGCTTTTTTATTGGTTTTGTCGAAAATTGGCAATGAAAAAATTTAATTAAAAATAATTTTTCACAGGACTTTTAATTTCTATATTTATATATATGTTACAACAATAAAGACAATAACGACAGCAGTAGTAACAGTGATTTATTTAACTTCTTTACGTACTTGATATTTACTTAAATTTATACTCGAGCATACACACAGCTATACATTATTAAAATCACAATAAAATCAATAACAACATGAGCAGGGACGAAAAGGCAGAAGAATGATTCTCAATAAATTAAGTGAAATTAAGTACTAGTAATTAAGTCAGACAGTGAAAAAGTCCTCATTACAAAGTGGACTGGTATTTCTAAATATTTTTTGGTTCAAATTGTTTTATCATAAAATTATTTCCCCTTATAATGTAACCGAATATAAAAATTTTGCCTTTAATTTAAAATTCGCAAAAAAGTGAAATTTGCAATTTAGATAAACAAATTTGTTTTCTGCTTTTAAATTATTTTTTGAAATTGTTCAATAAATATACGTATTTTGGATTCATTTCTTATAATAACATTTTTGCAAAGTACATAGAATGGTGTTGTGTTGTATATATCTTC